CAACAGCTCACTTTATTGTACTAATTTATATAATCTTTCCTCATGATACACTTACCATTGATACAATTGCTGGAAACAGTCAGCAAAGTTTTGTGATGAAGGGGTTGCGTCGCAGCTACATAATCGGCACAAGATATTTACATTATTACCGATAATACCATCAAGATGAAAATGATTTCTAAGTGTCCAGGTGGATTTCCATTGTGTTCCGATGTATCATTTGTAGATTGTAATAAGCAGTTGATGCTACAATGATAAAAATGATAAAAAATGATATGTAAATATCCTGTGTTGATTATGATGCAAGCCCTCTGCTCTATTTCAATTTATCAAGAATTATCTAAAGATTTTAATCGTATGAAATTTCGTGAAGATATCACACAGAATTGATGCGAATCTTCAATCAGTGAGTCTCACATCAAGGCCTTTTCTTTTCTGGTGTTTTTTTTGCGTTGCTGCAACCAATTTTGTCCGATCAAGTGAGACATGAACTCATTCGAATAAGACTCGATTATAATCTTTGTCTAAAACTTATACTCTTATACTTATACTTATATTGTAATGCGCTGCCTTTCCTCGTTTTACTGTATTACTATTGCGTGCATCTCGCTTACGCTTCTTGTATTTTTATCCACTGACGCGATACTGCGTACATGTACTTTCGCTAGACTATACGCCTCATTATCTTATTTTACATTATCTTTTTTTATTTATTTCTTCATTTTCTTTTTACTGCATGCGTTTAAAGTTAAGCATTTTATGCTCACATACAATCGTGAGCATAACCACAATATTTAATCTTTTATTTTAATCTCAAGTAATTTTAGTAATTTATATTTAATACTTGTACTTACTAATTTATTTTTAATTTCGATATCGTACTTTATCAGGCAGGCATTGTAGCAGTAGCTCTGCTATCACTTTGCCTTTTGTGTATGTATATTAAGTACACAATAAACATATTATATTTAAGATTCGATGGGCAGTTCATTAATTGAATGAATTTTTTGTTAGTTTTCGTTTTAAGATTACGCGTTTATTTTATTTATATTACAAAGTAAAAAAGTAAAAAATAAATTGAAATCCATTGCTTAATTTTTATTGTTTTATTATGAATTATACGTGAAATACTTTTATTATTCAATAGAATACGGATTAAGAATGGCCCAGCTACAGTTCTCTGAAGATTATGTCTTCCGAGCATTAAAATAAAATTTCCAAAAAAATGCTTTGCACAAAGTGTTTCATATTTCAAATTGTGATGTACATACATATATTATAAAGTATTTTATAAAATGTTTAAGTTTTGAGGATTTTATATGGATTTTTTACATGCAGAATGAAATGAATTGATTTATGTAAGAAAAAACATATAGTTTCATGAGCTAAGGGTGATATTGAAATTTTAGAAATACTATCTCAAACAAAATCAAAAGAAATGGTAGTGTCTCGCGCCAAAGTGTATGTATGAGACCGCCATGTAATCTATACGCGAACCGGCGAGTTGCAAGCATGCGAGATTTCGAATTCTCAATAATAGTTGATGAAGTTTTGAGTAACCTTAGGGAGAATTCACACCTTAACAGAAAAGCAGAAAACAGAACAGCAGAAGCCAATCAGAAGTTGCATTTAGCTATCAAGTGCTACACTTGCTAGTACTTGATAACTATAAGTGCAACTTAAGTTAATTAAATGAACTGGTTAGCTTCTGCATTTATGGTTTCTACTTTTCTGTCAAGGTGTAAATTCTTCTTTAGTCGATAGCTTGGGTTAGAATTACATAATAAGTGTTTTTATTTTTTCTCTCCGTGCCCTACAAGCGGAGATATTATAATGTAAAGTTTGAAATTATAGTTGTATTAACTCTAAGATATCTTATTTGAAAACTAAATAATTTTTATTTGAATGCATTGCTCTTATAATATTTGAGATTTTAAATGAATTACCCTGTATATGTCGTAAATATAACATATCTTATACAGGAGCATGTAAAGAGGGACCATTTGAAACAGCGCAATCACGTTTGTCCACACTGCGGCAAGTCTTTCTTTAAAAGATTCGACCTGAAGACTCACAGTAGAACGCACACGAACGAACGTCCATATGTGTGTCGTGTTTGCGGCAAAAGATTTCATCATCAAAGCCACATTATTCGTCACGAGCGCACACATTCAGGTGAGCGACCGTATGTTTGCGACATTTGTCAAAAAACTTTTACGCAACCCAGCTCGTTAAAAACGCATAAGCAAAAACATCAGCAAATTCGGATGGATTTTCTAGATTACCAGATCGATGAGGATGATCCTATTGCATTAGCGACTTTGTAAAACTGATAAGACATGTCTTATGAAATAAATGTATCACGATGTTCCGTTTGGCGTGTGAAGAAAATGAAGAAGCAGTGGATGTATAATACTAGTAATCAGTTCTACAATTTCTATTTTATTAGCATTGTTATGATCATGTTGTTATCTTTTTAATTAAAACTGTTGAAAAAAAACATGAAAGAGATTACTTATTTATTCACATTGAATTATAGCTGATGATAGATATATCTTAAGAGGATATATGCTAAAGCCGTCTGTTTTATCGACAAAAATACCATTTTTGTTGGTTACTAACTACTTCGTATTAATCGCATAAAATAAAATTTCCTTTTCCACGATTAAAACACACATGCTAATGTATCTGGCTCTGGTGCATTTTGTACCAAAAACGGGAAAAAATGAAATAATTACAGATTTCGTTATCCATTTTAACCTCAACATGGCGACTAATGCTA